CTTTGCACAGGTAAACAGCACATTTCTTCTTCTACGCTTGCATTATCGGCAGAGCAGACGCTGAATGCGCACTTTCTTCCGGTTTGGTCTGCCGGCTTCCGTAGAATCGTGAGCGCGCATGGGGGCGCTATTAGGAAATCCTATACACTACTGTTTAGGCTCTAAAACGTTCTAAATGACTTCGTTTCGAGTAAATTCTGGATGCTACCCACTCAGGACACTTGGATTACATTGGACGAGCAGTATGGAGGAATATTGACACGTTTTTGTGGACTTTTGTAGACCTTTCTGTCTCGGGCGCCATGGACCTCCATTATTTGAATGTCAGCAGACAGCAAGAAGCCTCCCAGATCTCCAGATGCATTTGAGATATCAAAAAAGTACTCCAGACTGTTGTTCAGCATGGGGGTGAGTAGAAATGAAGGCTAATCATGTTTTGGGTGTACTATTCCTTTAAAGCCTGAATTCCCCAACTGTGGGACATTAATGCATTTCTTCTTCTTATATTTAAGACACAACACAAAGTGCTGTGCATTGAAAGTCTTACATGGACTTGAACGTTGTGCTGTTTTTACTAAATGAATGTGGTAAGATATTGCTGGTTTCTTTTATTTGTGTTAATGCATTTTAGGGCTCTCCATGTGTCTGAGGTGAAGGAGGGAAAGCTTGTTTCAACACGTGTGGTCATGGTAAGTTTCACTGAGTCAGAGGCAACTGTGTCCATCATATTGTCAAAATTAAAAGTTGCCATGGCAGATGAGGAGGACTACACCCTCACTGACACCCTCGGGAATGAAATTGTTGAGTCTGAAGGGACAACTGGTAATTAGAATATATAACTTTTTCACAGACACCAAAATCATACCACTTATTCCATAGCGTTAATGTTGTAAGTAGCGGCATTACATTATTCTTTACTTTAGCTAACTCTGTTTTCTCTACATTTCCTCTTTGAAGGGTCTGTGTACTGGAAACAAAATGCCAGAAAAGTTTTGGCCGTCAAGACATCGACTTTTCGAGAATTGCACCGGCGCCGTTCAAGCAACAGGTATTTGTTACACACTCAAATGACTCTAGTTTTTTCAGGTTTGTAATGAGCTGTAAAGGACACACATACTCATCACAGCCAACGCAGCACTAATAATGTTATGCTTAGAAGAGCTGGCTCAAGTGGTGTAGTCTACGTGATACGTAGGTATGTGCCATACACCCACTAGAAAATCGTAGGAATTTCAGTAAAGCCACTTGTGTTGGGTTCAGACAAAATACCTTTAAGTGTCATCTGCTTTAACCAACTGGGGATTAGAGAAGATAGAGCAGAAATGCAATAAAGCACAGGTTTATACAGGAATCCGTCTTATTTTAGATGGCAATAGTAGATGATCGTCATCTGCTGGATTATGTCACAGCAAATGTAGTGCTAGTACAGGAGTGCCACTATGAAGAAAAACCAAAAGGGTGAACAAAAAGTTAAATGTAGAAATAAACACAAATAGTAAATTGCAAAACAATAGGAAAACTCAGCAGAGCACTAAAAATAGACGTTGTTGTCCTCCTGCAGTCTAAGCCTATAGCAGCATATCTGTTGAGATTGCTCAGAATATCCTAAACAATCACTAACTAAGGCTTTGTCTAACAGGAATTTTTAAGCCTAGTCTTAAAAGTAGACAGGGTGCCTCATGGACCAAAACTGATATGTATTTCCACAGGAGAGGAGCCTGATGGATATTATATGCTTATTTGGCATATTAACTTACAAAATTATGTGTTTTAAATACAAATTTTTCTTCCAAGGCTTGTCTGATTTGTTTCGTGTCATTTACACACAACAATAAGCCAAGTAAAGCAGAAGTTAGGGTTGAAACAGCAAAGATCTGTCTTTATCTGGAATGCAAAGTGCATTTAATGTCTCTAAGCACACTATACCCCCTACAGCGGTTTAGACTTCAGCTGTTGCTGGCTCTAAGAGCCGATGCTTTGAAGTAAATCTAAAGAGCGATCTCCAAGGTTTCAATAGAATTTGGCAAAATCTTATTTTTACCAGTATGTAGGCCATGCAAAGCATAAAAGTTTATAAAATAGGCTTTTACTATTCAATGAAAATGGAGGGAAAATTTGCTACTGCAACTAAAGACACCACGGTGATTGCAATGCTTTGCAGAATGTAAAAACATAAAATAAAACAGCATTTGGCTGCAGTTTAAATAAAGCATAAATAACGAAAATATATAAGTATCATCAAGAACTACTGATTTGAGTGGTAAAAGATTAGCAGTTTTTTTTTGTAAAGTTAATATAACAGTTAAGGCTACAAAAGATACTGCAAAATTGAGAGTGCTTTAGGGATAAAGCTAGCTATTTGGGAACTGAGCCAAACTTTCCATCACTGATCTGAAGATTTGGCAGGGCACAAGAGTACTCGTATTCCAGGACACGCCATCCTATGGTAGAATGTGGCTATTACATATTCATTAACCAAATTCTGAGTCGGATGAATGGAGCCAGCAGTTAAATCCAGAAATACAACAAATTAAAGTGAGATGTTGACCTGACACTGTCAAAATCTATGCTTTGATTTCTTGCTGGTATACTGTAACCAGTTGACTTTTTGGAGAATTTGATTCCAACTACTATTAAGTCAAACCAAATCATGAATAGTCATTATTTCTCCGTTTTTATTCTGACACAAACATCACTTGTCATAGCCCTTTTAACAATATTATCAGGCAAAAAAGATTGCAGCTGCATACTTCTCATAAATCTTTTTTAATTTGCTAATCCAATGCTCAATGTGCCAAATGCAGAAATGAAGAAGTGAAAAAACTTCGTGAACAAGTGGAGGAACTGCTGGAGGCATCTCAAGGGCTAGAAGAGGTTACCAGCAATATTCAAAATCTTGTGACCCAGAGCCGGAACCTGTCTCCAGTTTGGCCAGAAATAAAACAGGCCTTTGTCTGTTTGATCTGCAGAGGTAATGTTTCCATTATGCGTGTTTACATATTAGTCACCTATGCATAACATGTCAGTATTGCAAATTGTTTTGAGTTTGTTCTTTAATTTTGACCAAAAAAGTAACCTAAGACACAATGGACAATGCCGTGACTGTGGCTCAATGGTTTGAGTAGTTGATGAAGGATGTGTGTTCGATTACAGCCTCTCCCTTTCACATGTTTATGGATCCCTGTGCGAGACACTGAACTCCGAGTTGCTTGCCGTCCTGCGTATCGGTTTATGGATGTGTGCTTGTTGTTCAGTGCAATTGGGAGAAAGTAGCTCCAGTGTACAGCTTTGAGTTTTCAGTTTGACTGGAAAAGTGTTTCATAAGTTCGGCCCATTCACCACACTGGGGCACTCAAAGTGCTTTCTGTTGTACATTTATGGTAGTGGAATATAGTTTTTGTTTTTTTGTTAAGATGCATAGCCTGGAAGAACTGCATCCTATGCAGAATGTATTAAACTGATCTGTCCTTTTTCAGCTGTTAAGACTCGCCCCATGTTTACTTCCTGCTGTCGGAGCCTGGTGGGATGTGCGGAGTATGTTCAGGAGTGGAGGAACAACTCTGATCAGTGCCTCAAGTGTAGAGATGACCTGCCAAGCTACACAGAAGTAGCAGGACTCGCAGAAGCACTTAATTGCCTGAAGTTAATTGAGTAAATACTTGTTTTTTATTATTCGATTGGTTCATGTTCAATATGTTAAAAGTTTTTGGCTAACTACTTGTTGTTTATTTGTTGGATCAAGTACAGCTATTAAATTGGTTTATATTTCATCTTGTATTTTTCTCTGAATTAAATTTAAGTAAATTTAAGTAAATACTTAAAATTTTATGTTAATGTATTATGTTTTTTTTTTTATTATTCGATTGGTTCATGTTCAATATGTTAAAAGTTTTTGGCTAACTACTTGTTGTTTTTTTGTTGGATCAGTACAGCTATTAAATTGGTTTATATTTCATCTTGTGTTTTTGTCTGAATTGTGCTTCCTATTTTGTTTTGAAGTCATTCAAACATAACTCTAGTGTTTATCCCTTTTAAAGAAAACAGAACACAATGCAAAAAAGGATGAGCAATGCCTTGTAGAACTTTTTACGTAGAAAAATGTTTATGACGGTTCTGCTGGTGCAGCAGAAACATAGACTTGAAGAAACTTGCTCTGTGCTGTGAATAGCTCTAGATAGGATGTTGCACAAGCTGCTGAAAGTGTAGAACTATTCACACCCTCTCTACACCTCTGAAGAGACAATTAAGTGTTCACCACCAGTGTGTTGTAACACTAGAATAGCTCATGATCAAACAGTCGTTGAGATGGTGCACTAACAATTACCAAATTTAATGGCAAAACCAAATTTATTATTTTACTAAATGACAGTATAGTTTTCTCTCCTGACAGTTGCAGAGAAGTCATATTATTTCTGGAGTTCAAAGACCTCCCATACAAGTAAAAAAATGCCCAGGTTAAAGCTATTTAGAAAGGCAAAAATGTTTTTTAAATATCTCAAACTTATTCGAGCTGAACCATAGGCTGACATTTCAATAACTTCACAGCATTATTTAAGACAAAGTTTTATTAAAGTGGAATGAAATGTAAAAACTAGTTACATAAGGCAATAGCTTAAAGTTTACAATAGAACATAACATATTTCCAGTTTTTGTACATAATTAAGTAATGTGCCATTAAGGTTTAAAGGCAATTCATGTAATTATGACATGAAATTAAAGTAAACATTTTTGACTTTTTGCATTATGTTAAACTACGCACTAAAACAATATATTTGACGCCAGTTGTCTCTGGATAAACGTTTACAAATAAAATGAAGCAATACTCTATGCATTAAAGAAACGGCTTCACAAATAAGTAACTCCACTATTAGTGTGAATTCAATTTCTAAATTTCTTTATGGGGCAGTGATACATTTTACATTCAAACTGGAACAGTGTTTTTTAAATATGTAGTGAAAAGTTTACAACACTGTCAGAGTTAAAACATTCATTGCAGAAATATTTTCCTCCTCTAGGAAGACAGAATCATGACAGTAACTTTCACTTCAGGGTGTTTTCTTTTGTGTAGAGTTTAAATTGATCCATCTCCAGCAAGAGTTCTTAGAGGACTTTAAAAGTGTAGCACAAAATAGGAGGGTATGCACAGTTCAGGGCATAAATCAGTCCCATAAGCAGTGGACAAGCTTTCGCTGTACTCTTGCATCCTGGGACAATCTCATAGCTGTCAGATTTTGAAAACAGAGTTACTAACATCACTGTGCTGTCCTCGCCCTGAGTTTTCCCAACTTTTCAGCTGGCTAGACAGCCAGACAACGACGCTCCAATAACCAAACTTCTTTCTCTTTTCAGCTGTTTATTGAAGAGTGGCCTCTGACCACTGCCATCGCTTTAGCCATCGTAAACTGTAACATACAACCATTACAAATCAATCACTCTTGTAGCAAGCCAATAACTTCAGCATACAATTATTTACACCACAGTTACATAAGGCAAATCAAAAACTAATAAACTCAGAAACAGCTTCTTCCCCTGTGCTGTGAGGGTATCCCATCTGATGTGAGACAGCGGTCTAACACAGACGGTTTCCATGCATTTCTTTCTTTCTGTACAAAATTTTAATTTAAAATATTAAAAACGATATAAAATAAAGCAGGAAACCTAAACCTAGCCGGAGTGTCTGAAAGAAATTTCACAATGGTAACATGCTGCGATAATTACCCATTTATGAATCACTTTCAAACACTATGTCCCTTTAAATGAACCCCTTGTTCAAGATTATTTTTAAATGTTTGAAAACATGACCTACCAAGCAGTCCTCAAAAAGTCATATTCCTTCTTCCCATGGTACAGTATAAGGCTGGAGATAATGGCTTCTCTTCTCACCTCAATGCTCTGTTTCTGCAATCAGATTAAGAACATAAACATAAGCATTATAAATACACAATGAGCATGTGAGGGAAGTTTAAGACTTAGGGGTGTCTTGAACCGATCGTGTGACCAGATATCAGAGAAAGAGCGAGATGAAGTGGGTGACTGAGGGAGCGATGGAGAAGGAGCAAAGTTAGTCAGTGAGGTGGGGACAGACAGGCAGCTGAGGGCTGCCTGTCTGTCGTATTTTATTTCATAAATATAAGTAATAAGTTACGTCAATGCTGATACATCAATGGTGTCTTACAATGCAATAAATGTCACAGGCTTGTTATTGAGGTAGGTAGAGTAGTATTGTAATATTGTTACATCCCTAGTAGAACACAAAGAACAGAAAAATACTGGGATGGTCCTGTTAATCTACATGGAACACTTTACTGCATTGCCAAAGAATTTGATCTGTCTGTGAATCAGAAACAAGTAGGTCCATCTCCCTGTAAAACATATGAAAAAGCAAAACAAGCACACCTGACTCAGTCGGTCCAGGAGCAAACTCGTCTTGGGCCCCAAAACTCCTCCCCTGGCTTTCATCAGCTTTCGTGTGTATTTGTCAAGTTTTTTCCTGGTTTGATGCACTGGAATGGTTGGTGTTCTCCTGAATTCCTCTTTGATCTGAATCAACGAAAGATTCACAAGTACAACTATATTTTGATTGAAATTTACATGTTCAAACGGAGCATGAATTAGTTAATTAAAAATTATTCATTAAGCATAGTTACAGCTTAACAAAGTTAAAAGCTTAAGGGCCACAGGAGAAAATAGGTCCTACAAACAGTGAAATAACTTTTTATCTGTGATTTAAAAAAAACCCATTTAGAACAATAATAAATAAAACAGAACAATAATAACTTACCTGTGAAATGACTTAAGTGCTACATGTTGCTCTGTGATCCTCAGACGTCTGGACACAGAAAGTCGGTCCTGTAGTAGCCACAGTGCGCATGCGTTGTGCGTACGTCTCAAAACCCTGCATTTTCATAGTAAAGTTTGTTTAGAATGTAAGTGTATGTACATACAATAATTCATATTTAATGGTATAAGGAAACCTAAATACATCTCACTCTAACTATATAATTCACGTATTACTTAAAAATATTGAAAAACTCTAGATCTTACTGAATCTTAAAATATAAATTAGAATGACAGTTATTCTAATAGAATTTACTGCAACAAAAAGTATTTTTTTTTCAACTCCAATCACTTCTCACCTCTTAACGTTTATAATCATTTTCACCCCCTTTCACAGCGACAGGTTTCTCACCTCAATCGCTGCCTTGATCAGACAAATCTCTATTGCGCAGGGTGCTCTGCGTAATTACGCATGCCAAAGACTCAGTTTCACGTTCTCAGATTTTGTTGGAGCTTACGGAATTAATTCGTAAAGACTGTAAAGGGACAAGGACAAATAACGGGTCTGAGCCAAAGCCCCTGATGGTACATGTCCCCTCATATGCGACTAAAAAGTGCGAATCAACATGTACCTTTATGCACATCTGAATTCAAGCGCAGGACGATGTGCCAGCGCAGAATCAAATCACCCAGCCCCGGGTAGACTGTTAAAATTGAGTTTGCATAGTATCCTATCAGTATGTATTTACATATTATCTTGCTGTAGAGGTACAAACATCTCAGGCATGGAAATGCAGGGATAATTTTTTTTCACCTCACTCCTGATTTTATTGGCTGTTTTCCCAGATATATCTCTAAAAAAATTCCAGATTTTTTACCGCCACAAAAATGAAGTTCCTCACACAGCACTCCGTTTCATAAATGTTCCATTTATTGACTATGAGGTGGTAAAATACGCTTGATATTGCGATTAATTGTCCCATTGATGCACAGCGACATCTGCTGGTCATTTAAAATACCTGTCGTGAGTGTCAAATTTACCATGTCTGTTCTGTCGCAGTTAAATCTCTCTGATGACTTTATTCCGAGTAAACCCTGTAGCTATAAAAAATATAAATATATATTACATCTAAATATATGTATATATTTATATATGTATAAGACCTGCTTTAATTTCGAACACAAGCAAAAGCTACGATGAGGGCAGGAAATACAACGAAAGTTTCTCCATGCCATGCCTTTATTTTGAAGGGCTCCGGACCGGCGGGCTTGAAAGCCACGCCCACTTCTGAAACCGAAAATTGACTGGTATTTCCGTTTTGGGGGCGAAAACGAAAAAAACCAAAATCAAGCCGTTTAATGGATTTTGGTTTTATGTGCAGAAGCCACAAAACGGGAAAACGAATCGTTTTCTGAGGAGAAAAAGGAGAAAACGGCCGTTTTTCTGTTTTTTCCATGTTGAATTATACCGTTTAATCAAACTGATAAAAAGTACCTTCGTCCTTCACATTTATCATTATTTTTCCTCCCTATTAAGTATAAATTGTCATTTAAAAAAGTATGACCTACTCTTAATCTGATCATTATTATTTCTTCCCTTCGGTTTCTCTCATTAATATTTCTATTTAATACTGACTTTTGTACTTTATATAACCTTCTTCATTTTTATCTTCATTCCACCTTTTTTTGCCATTTTTCAATTTCTTTCCTCTTAATAAATGATTTTCCTTCCCCTTTCCCTAAAGGAATTGTAATTGTTATTTGTCTACTTTTCATTCAACCTAACTTTCCATTAATTAGCTTGAAAACAGCACTTTGTAGGCACCCAGTTTCTCTAACAATGGCCCTTTTTGGGTTACCCTCCATGCATTGGGTGTCAGTTCAGTGGCAGTTCCAGAACATTTTCTTAGGGTTGACCAGGCAGCACAATAATGTGCATGTGGCCAAAAAGTAATAGGGATCAAATTCGGTTCAGAGTCAAGCTATTGGGATCAGGCATCAGGTTCAATTTGCATATTTTCTTAGCCAAAACAAGGATTTGTTGGGCTACTGTAATTTTGAATTGAAAAACGTCCTGAATGGGAAGTCTTCAAACTTAAAAAAACAAAGTCCAGTTTTTTTTTTGTTTGTTTTTTTGGAATGATTATGACCTGGATGTCTAAGAATCTTCACCAGCTTATCAGGGAAATGAATGCCCACAATGTCTATATTCTCCAAAAGAGAATAACAGAACAGACCTTCATGAGGCCCTTGTTAAAGCTATGCATATATTTATGCATCTATGCTCTTCAAATAACTTTCTGGTTCGATGCAACATTTACATTAAATGGGTTGAGAGGTTGTTCTTTACCAGTAAATACATAAAAGATTCCCAGATGACTGCCGATACAAACTCTCCCCTATAAAACCTAAAACTAATTCTTATAAGAGAGTAAAATCTGTATTAGTCTTCATTAAATGTAGCATATTGTTGTAAATAATCGATTGCTTTATTTTTGGTGTCAGCTTTTGGTCAATATGCTAACCTTAAAAGGTCAAAGTGGGAAAATGTAGAAGTAGTAGACAAATTAGCAATTAGAGGAGGCAATAACAATTACAATTCCTTTAGGGAAAGGGGAAGGAAAATCATTTATTAAGAGGAAAGAAATTGAAAAATGGCAAAAAAGGTGGAATGAAGATAAAAATGAAGAAGGTTATATAAAGTACAAAAGTCAGTATTAAATAGAAATATTAATGAGAGAAACCGAAGGGAAGAAATAATAATGATCAGATTAAGAGTAGGTCATACTTTTTTAAATGACAATTTATACTTAATAGGGAGGAAAAATAATGATAAATGTGAAGGATGTGGAGAGATAGAAAATGCAGATGTATTGATGAACTGCAAAACATATGAACCTGAAAGGAAGAAATTGAAAAGAGGACAGGCCAAGAATGGAGTCTTAAAGGATTATTGGGAAATAAAGGAAATATAAAAGATATTTATAGATTAAGGAAAGCATTATTTATTTATCTTCAGAATACAAAATTAAAAAATAGAATTTAATAGATGTAAAACAATGTTGCTACACACTCATGAACAGTAGGTGGCGGTATGCCCGCCCCTTCCCTAGAGCCCGGTGGGATCGAAAACATTTTGAATGGAAATCAGTGGGGAGAAATGAATAAACTTTTGGTCCCAGTCGCTCTCTGTCATTGATTCCAGATATGCTGGTTGTGTATTCAAATTGTTTTTTTGTTTTTTTTTAGTTCCTCTTTGGTCAAAGTCTGGTCAAAACCCATCAATGAGATCGCACCAAACAGGAAGTTAATTGCACAAAGGATCCGGTAGATTTCCAAATAAAACACATCCGATCTTAACCCATGATCCTTTTTTAAAACTAGTTTAATTAGTTTCTCCCGTATGCCACGACGTAATGCATTGATCTGAAAATCAACCTCAGAGGCAACGCACGCAGTGGCGAGGGTTTGATCCGTCAGATGGAGTTAAATCACAAAGGATTCAATGTTGAATCGGGGCGGCAGCTAAATGCTAGGCGATGGGTAGCAGCCAAAACGTTGCAATTTCACATAATCCTGACGAGATCCGAAAAACGTAGCAAAAACTAGCAAGCGGGTGATTATGTATGCTCTCTGTCATTGATTCCAGATATGCTGGTTGTGTATTTAAATTGTTTTTTTTTTTTTTTTAGTTCCTCTTTGGTCAAAATCTGGTCAAAACCCATCAATGAGATCGCACCAAACAGGAAGTTAAATGCACAAAGGATCTGGTAGATTTCCAAATAAAACACATCCGATCTTAACCCATGATCCTTTTTTTAACTAGTTTAAATAGTTTCTCCCGTATGCCACGACGTAATGCATTGATCTGAAAATCAACCTCAGACGCAACACACGCAGTGGCGAGGGTTTGATCCGTCAGATGGAGTTAAATCACAAAGAATTCAATGTTGAATCGGGGCGGCAGCTAAATGCTAGGCGATGGGTAGCAGCCAAAACGTTGCAATTTCACATAATCCTGAGGAGATCCGAAAAACGTAGCAAAAACTAGCAAGCGGGTGATTATGTATGTTCACTAAGTAAATATTATGTAAATAAACCCTACACTTCTCGCTATAAATGTAATCAAAACCCATTTAAATGCAGAAACTGATTGAAATTATTGATTTTCCCACTAAAAGTTAGAGAAATCTCAGCCATGTTTATACCAAAATGTTACAGTTTCACATTATCTTGAAAAATCTTTGCAAGAAACGAACAAGCAAGTGAATATGTACATTCCCTGAGTAAATATTCTGGCAACAAACTATACATTTCTCACTAGAAATGTAATCAAAACTCATTTTAATGCAAAAACAAACTCAAGTTATTAATCTTTCCACAAAAAATGAGCGAATGTCGGCCATCTATATATATTTTTTTCTTCTCCCAGCTGGAATCTTGAAAGTCACGTGACTAGGACGTAAAACAATAGAAAGCGTATAGGCAGAAGAAACGTAACAGTACCACAAAAAAATGGCCATTAATGTACCTCCACTACGTTTTGCAGTGTGGACCAACGTAGTGGGGTACATTTTCCCATGAGACTGGGTTGTTCTAAGCCAACAGTGATGTAAGAACCCAATGAATCTGATGTATAGAATGGAGAGAAATCCACACTGAGATGTAAGATGAAACAACAGCCATTTTGTAAATATTATTAGATGGGGTAAAAAGAAAGATATTTTTAACCCATCTAACAAATCCCTAACAATACCCACGTAATACCTGCCTGTTTGTGTCAGAACTAAAGTTTGCCCTAACTAGTTTATCTAATTGGGATAGTTCCTCGGTGAGGATAAAAAAGTCATCTTCATTACGTACATGGCACAGATTTGGGAATGGAATGAGAGCCTTGATCTAAGAACATAGTGTAATACTTTGATTAGGCTGGAGCCATGGATGTCTCCTCATTTGCAAACGTGTCTGATGTAATGATGGGATCATGTGGCAGACTGGAGTTGTATAAAATGCTTCTTTAACTGTGATTTGGGTACGAATTCAATGAGATGTGAGCCCGGTTGGTAAACTTCTGTAATTCAAAGCAACTTCTGACAAAACAATTTCTGTCAAAATCTGTTGTCATGTTTAAAGGTTATTTTAATACATCAACATTATGAAGTGTTTTTTAAAGAGTTTTTCCCTAGTGATCTCTTCTCAGGAAAATAACCAAAGATAAAAAGCTTTAAGGTGTAAACAAAGAGCTTTCCATGACATAAGACTGATTTTCTTTGTTTTGTTGTTTTTTTTTGCATTTGTTTTCAACCTAACAGCAGATAAACCCAGAGTCACACTGACAGCAGAGAAAACAACCATACCACTAGGGGGCAGTGTTAGACTGACCTGCTCTGTGGATGGATCTGCTGACTGGAAGTTTGACTGGTTCAGAAATGGGCAACAATATTCCGTAGTCCAGACCAGAGGAAACATTGAGCCATACAGAGTCATCAGTATCTCAGAGGGAGGTCTATACAGCTGCAGAGGAGGAAGAGGAGATCCAGTTTTTACAACAGAAACAAGCAATGAATTCTCTATTAGCAGAACTGGTGAGTTTAGCTTTACATTTTAGAAAAATGCTTTCTTCAACTATCATTTATTTATCAGGGATGTTTAAGTATCCGATGTTGATAATAATGAGAGCTTTAAATAAAATGAAAACAATAATTATATGATGGTAGCTCCATTAGCTGATTGATTGAATTTGAAGTATTTTAATTGCATTTCAATGGTAGCAATGAAGATAATCCAGGAAAGACATTTTTATGTAACACTCTAACAAACAAATAATTATTGTGAACAGTCTCTAAGCCAACAGTGATCCAACAACCCAGTGGGTCTGATGTATACAGAGGAGAGAAAGTCACTCTGAGATGTGAGATCTATGGAGGTGGAGGAGCTCAGTGGACGTATGAATGGAGAACAACCAGGAGAAACTCTCCAACATCCAGTGAATACAGGATCAACAGAGTCTCTTGGTTTGACAGTGGAGAATACAGCTGTAGGGCTGAAGGAGATCATCAGATAACAGAATGGAGTGATGCTTTAACACTGACAGTGAGATGTGAGTAAAATGTAAAATATTTCCTTATTGTTTTGATCTTAAATAAATTATTAACAAGTATTCCTGTTACTATTGACCACAGACTAAAGCAATGTTTAAAACAGTGTTATATGTTAAAAATTGTAAAAACTTAATTTTAATAAATGCAAAATAAACTAACTTTAATCTATATACTGAGAGTATATTTAGTTTCATTTTCTATTATGAATGATTAAATTAAATATAAAATGACAGTCATTTTATAAAGATTTTTAGATGTGGTAAAAAATTCTTTTTTTTTTTTTTTTTTTTACTAAAGTAAGATGATGATGTGATATTTATTTACCGTATTTTCACGACCATAAGGCGCACCGGACTAAAAGGCGCACTCTCAGTTATGTGTCCCATTTCTGTATTTAACACACACATAAGGCGCACCGGACTATAGGGCGCGTTTTTTATATACAGGTACATGTCCTCTACTACCTTTAAATACCTCTACTGCGTATTTAAAAATACAGCGGGGGCAAAACTGAGTATGACTGTGCTTTATTCATGTATTTATTACAAAGTATTAATCAAACCTGGCAGCTGGCCGTGAGACAGAGACATCGCAGATGACACAGCGCTGTGGTCACTCCTAAATTAACTTAAAATCCTGAAACCTGCTGACGGAATATGTTCGCTTTTATTACCGGTATCCTGGTGCCTGCAGTTTAGATTATTTAGATGAAAAACACCTGCCAGCAGCCGCGGTGAACCCCAGGCTGCCCAGCCTACAGGCTGCTGATGAAGAGATTTCTGCTGTCAGCGCACCGCTGGTATGTGGGGGTCTGAGCGCCTCCGACAGAAATAGATAATCTGGATGAACTGACTGCAATTATTAAGTTTTCAGGTGGACTTTCTCACTTAAAAACATATTAAAACTACTTTATTCCCACTGATCACAGCAAATATAGCTGCAAGATTTAGATTATTTAGATGAAAAAACACCTGCCAGCCACCGCGCTGAAGAGGAGGAGACGCGGCCCAGAGGCTGCTGTTGAATTAAGTTTTCAGGTAGAAATATAGAGCGGGAGCAAAACTGAGTATGATTGTGCTTTATTCATGTATTTATTACAAAGTATTAATCAAACCCATCAAAGTCATCATCCTCTGTTTCTGAATTAAACAGCTGCGCTAAATCAGACATGCCAGTTTCCCCTTCTTCGCTGTCAGTCACTTTCCGTGCAGCGCGGCTCCTCAGAAATAATGCCGGCTTTTGCGAAAGCCACAGAGCCAGCAGACACTTTAGTCCAAGCATCTACAATCCATCCGCAAACTGTGGCGTAATCTGCCCGGCGCTGCCTTCTTATCCTGTAACTGTGGTCTCCGTCGGTCATCCATCGCTCCCACGCCGCTTGCAGCCTTACTTTGAACGGGCGCTTCACACCGATGTCGAGCGGTGGAAGCTCCTTTGTCAGACCCCCGGGATAACGGCGAGCACAGCGTTCATTTGATTCACCTTTTTTTCACATCGGCTGTGAGATGGGCACGCAGCGATGGTGATGCGTGGAAAAAACCACCTAGTCTTCTCACATACACCTGCCTCAGCCACGCATCCATCCAGCCTTTTCCATTTGCGTTAATATCATATGTCATCAGAGCGCTGTCTGTCTCGCTGGCAGCTCCCAGATCAGCTTCTCTGATTGGTTGATGCGGCGCGTCCAGCAGCAAAACTTCAATTTTTCCATCTCGAGCAGCAGAAGCGCGGCGCTTCAGATGCTTAAACGCTCCCGACGTGCTGCACCAAAATGCGCTGCGGGACCTTTTGCTGCACCTATATGCGCGTCAACCATTGACTTTGCATGTAAACTCGCTGCTTCTGCTGCTTCTGCTGCACCTGCTGGGTCCGGTTCACACCGATGTCGAGCAGCGTTAATTTGTTTCCCCATGTTTTTCACATCAGCTGTGAGATGGGCACGCATGGAGTTACATATTAACAGCGATGGTGAGGGGTGGAAAAAAAACACCTGGTCTCCTTACATTCAGCCACTCTTTCATCATCTCCTCAATGAGGTAGTCTCAAAAGTCGCAGTTACAACACATATAAGGCGCACCGCACCATAGGGCGCACCGCACATTTTGAGGAAAAAAAAAGACGTTTAAGTGCGCCTTATAGTCGTGAAAATACGGTACCTTGTTTTCAACCTAACAGCAAATAAACCCAGAGCCACACTGAGAGCAGAGGAAACAATCATACCACTAGGGGGCAGTGTTAGACTGACCTGCTCTGTGGATGGATCTGCTGACTGGAAGTTTGACTGGTTCAGAAATGGGCAACAATATTCTGTAGATCAGACCAGAAGAAACATTGAGCCATACGGAGTCATCAGCATCTCAGAGGGAGGTCTATACAGCTGCAGAGGAGGAAGAGGAGATCCAGTTTTTACAACAGAAACAGGCAATGAAATCTCTATTTGGAAAACTGGTGAGTTTGTTGCCTTTTTTACATCTTGAAACTGTTTAACCAGGAAACTTTATTTCTGTTCTACATCTATTGATATTTGGTGCATGAAGAGTTTTTTATTTTATTTATTATCTTATTTTGGAATAAACAACCAAGAATAACAGAATTCTCGGGGAAGAGCTGAATCATTATAAAAACAAAAAGTAAATGCCTCTTTTAATCTTTATCACAGTGGAATACATTATTTCTGACAACTAGAAGCATTTTAGATACAGTTTGTCTGTTTGATGAGAATATAATTGTAATAATTGTTAAATGTTTATTGTGGTCTGCCCTCTTTTGAAGTCTCTCTCTACTAGTCTTTTTGTACAGATTTCCAGCAAAACCTTAAAAAAAAAACGTTGTTTAAACTCAAACAATTTCAAACAAAATTCAGGCAGCTTTAGTAAAAACAGATATTTCCAGGTCTGAAGGTAGAGAAAAGTTCTAACCTCACAGACATGATAACTGGTCCAAGTAATCTGTGACACATGATGCTAGAAAACTTCCTACAATTTATGGGGTCAGATATTAAAGTGATTTAATTCACATTGTTAGTTTATATATTGACAGGCTGGTAGAAATTATTATCTCAGTATTCAATGTGATTTTTTGCTGCTTTATATCTGTCTCTCTAATTCCTAATGTTGTTTAGCTAAGAAACATCTTCTGGCTTCTGGGATTTGGATAATGTTGTAGTTTTATTAGAAAGAAACAAATTAAATAGATAAGATTTTTTATTTCTATATCACACCTTAATGAGGGAGTATTATTTTAATCCATATCAATTAGGTTTACTGTAATTATATGTATATATATATATATATATATATATATATATATATATATATATATATATATATATATATATATATATATATATATATATATATATATATATATATATATATATATATATATATCTGTTTTATATACGTCTATATCAGTATTCTCACTGAATATTATTCATTCCAGTCTCTAAGGCCACTGTGACCCTTCAACCCAATTGGCCTCAGATATTCAGAGGAGAGAAAGTCTCTCTGAGATGTGAGATCCATGGAGGTGGAGGAGCTCAGTGGACGTATGAATGGAGAACAACCATCAGAAACTCTGAAACATCCAATGAATACAGGATCGCTGCAGCTACTGAATCCTACAGTGGAGAATATAGATGCATGGCTAGAGGAGACTACCAGATAACAGACTGGAGTGATGCCTTCAGACTGACAGTGAGAGGTGAGTCAGACTGTCGTCTATAAAAGGCCTAAAATGAACTATTTTATTTATATTATTCTAATCTATTAAAAAAAAAACTGCTCAGCACTTTTACATATTTTTCCAGAATGAGATAACGTCACACATGGTGTAAATATTCTGTTAGAATATAATATATTCTGCCAGATAATATGATAGAAAATGCAAATTCTGTTTATTCAGGAATAATCTGTGGAAAACTTTATGAGATGTTTAAGATTTCTGACAAAATAAAATGGTTTGTTAGTATACAGGCTGGATCTAACCATTATTTTTCACCATCTGTGTCTCCATCAGATAAACCTCAGCCTGTCCTCTCTGTGTCTCCATCAGATAAACCTCAGCCTGTCCTCTCTGTGTCTCCATCATGGCTGAGTCCTGGAGCCTCAGTGACTCTGAGCTGTGGGGGGTTGGAGCATCCATCTGCAGGATGGAGGTTCTTCTGGTATAAAGTGGTTCCAGCAAAATCCAGCAGCTCCTACAGCTTAGAGCTGCTGACTGGCAGAACCAACTGGACTGAACAGAACTCCTACCTCATTAATGGACAGAATCACACAGCAGGATATGTGTGCAGAGCAGGAAGAGGAGAACCAGTGTTTTACACTAAATACAGTGAAGCAAAGTTTGTCTGGTCTGCAGGTCAGTTTATCTCTGTTCATTCAAGGATCCTTGTGTTTTAAATGTTGATTATTTTTCAACAATTTGCATTTCACCTAAAATGCTGCCCATTCTATTGGCAGAGTTTATCTGACGTCTCCTTCGGGTTTTATCGGCTTCCTCTCATCTACCTGCAGTCCATCAGTTTAAGTCTAAGTGTATGTCTACATTCAGGGGCTGCATTGATTGAAGGCAGCCATTCTAGGCTGATTCTGTTCTTTTTAACAAAGATTCCTTCGAGTCATTGCTTATCCCATGATTCCTTACTAATTAAAGTTGATTGGTCAGCCAGAGGCAGCAATAGCAGATGGACAAGGTGGACAGCAGTGACAGAAATTGTGAATTAAATGTAAAAAAATGCTTTTAGTGTAACAATATGACATTTCAGATTTTTTTTAAAGTGGGAATGTAGCTTTATAAACCTCAGATATCTTACATTTTATTATCATGACCTAGTCAAACTAGCTGTGAGTGCAGCAAACTCTGAAATCTTAACTGAGAAGTACCTGTGCAAATTCTCAATCATCTGGGTCATGACAACCACAAAACCAGCTTAAATCAGAGGCAACTTTTGCTCTGTTTATATGAAAATGTTCAGACATCTGGCAGTCTAAACACCCCCACATTAATCCCAGTAATTTAATGAGACCACAATCCGAAAATCAGAACGAGAACATTTTCTGAAAATTAGCAGTAAATTATTTAGTAATGTTGTGAGTGTAGAAGGGGCTTTAAAGTTCTAGTGTTTAATATAATTCTATTTTCTTTGTAGCTAAATATACACTCCTGATCAAAATCTTTAGACCAGTCAAAAAATTGCAAGAATTTGCATTTTGCACTATTGGATCTTAAGAAGGTTCAAAGTAGAGCTTCACAATGTTAAAGGAAAAAATCAGTGCAAGAGACAAGAACTTTTGAGCAGGGAATTTTCTGAAAACTGCAGTTACACTCAAACATTATTTTTTCAGCTGATCAAAAGTTTAAGACCATAGTCTTTAAAAGGCAAAAGCTGTGCAAAAATCTGGATTCCATGTCATTTCTGTCAAGTCTTAACACTGTCAAGACCTCCTGATGGCAAAAGCAAAAAAGCTCACTGACTTTGAATGTGGTAGGATTGTTGAGCTGCATAAGCAAGGCCTCTCACAACGACGCAGTAAGACAGTCATTTTGCATTTTTTAAATGATCCTGAGGGTTATGGAACAAAAAAGTCAAGTGGAGACCCAAAAAAATTTCACCAGCTCTAAGCCGCAGGATCCGATTGGCTGTCCATCAAGACACAGGACGATCCTCTACCCAAATTAAGGCCATTACTGGTGCTGACTGCAGCCCAATAACCATCAGACGGCATCTGCGAGAGAAGGGCTTCAGAAATAAAAAAACGTCTTCAACGGCTACGTCTTCTTCTTTGCAAGGGTGCACCCAACATGGGACATTGAAAGGTGGAAGAAAGTTGTCTTCTCTGATGAGAAAAAATGTAACCTTGATGGTCCTGATGGCTTCCAACGTTACTGGCATGACAAGGAGATCCCACCTGAGATGTTTTCTACACGGCACAGTGGTGGGGGCCTCATCATGATTTGTGGTGCGTTTTCCTTCAATGGAACTATAGAGTTTCAGGTTGTCCAGGGGCATCAAACAGCAGCTGGCTATGTGGAGATGTTGCAGCGGGTCCCTTATGACTGAGGGCCCTTGTCTGTGTGGTAATGATTGGGTTTTTCAACAGGACAATGCTGCAGTTCACAATGCCTGCCTGACAAAGGAGTTCTTCCAAGAGAATAACATCACTCTTTTGGACCATCCTGCATGTTCCCCGGATCTAAACCCAATTGAGAACATTTTGGGATGGATGGCAAGGGAAGTTTACAAAAATGGACATCGGTTCCAGACAGTGGATGCCCTTCGTGAAGCCATCTTCAACACTTGGAGCAACGTTCCCACTAGCCTCCTGGAAACACTGGCATCAAGCATGCCTAAACGATTGTTTGAAGTCATCAACAAGAATGGTGGAGCTACTCATTACTGAGTCCTTTTTTTGACACTTGGATTTCTGTTTTGGGGGGTTTCAGGTTTTTTTGAGCTATGGTCTTAAACTTTTGATCAACTGAAAAAAATCATGTTTGAGTGTAAATGCAGTTTTCAATTAATTCCCCGCTCAAAAGTTTTTGTCTCTTACGCTGATTTCTTCTTTTAACATTGTGAAGCTCTACTTAGAACCTTCTTTAGATCCAATAGTGCAAAATGTTAATTCTTGCAATTTTTTGACTGGTCTTAAGATTTTGATCAGGAGTGTATATGTATTTACAACTTAAAGACATGGTGGCCCCGTGGTCGTGTTTCTCTTAGAGTTTGAAGCGAAAATCTTTGCTGCAGGTAGAATGAGAGGAAACCTATAAAACCTGTAGGCCCTGAAGGAGCCTTCAGTTTAACTCCACCCCTGATGCCAAAACAGTGCCAACCTGCATTGCCATGGTAACTTATAAGGGGCCATAGAAATCTGCAGCATCTCTAAAAGCTGTTGTTATTAAAAAAATGCAACTTAATTATTATTTCTTATTGTTTCTTTTCATAGTTAATGTTTAAAGACATTGTTTAATTTTATTATGTTAAACTTCATAATGCCAAATCTCTTTTTAGAGTCAATGTCAATGCTTTAGCTTCATACTTCTGAACCAGTTACTTGGGACCTCATTTTAACACACAGAAAGGCGGCCATGTTACTCTGGTTCTCAAATCAATCCAATGGCATTCAATTATGTGAAGACTTTAGTGGTTATTACGTCTTCATTGCCTTGGTCCCCATACCTTAGTGACTACCTGGTTGGTCCCACCTAGATCATTAAATACAGAGAATATCATAAAATGCAATTAGATTGTAATTCACTGTAGTTAGTTTTTATTTTTGTCTTTCATTCCTTAGATTTTAGCACCTCTGCTTGAAGGGAGGCTGTCACATACTATGGCTCTACAAATTTCTACACCAGTATCTTTGGTTGTTTACAAAGACTTTTAGAATACATTATGTTGCCTTTTTGGCTTATTGTATTTTATTTCTGCATTTTCTATTTGTTTTTTCACTTTTTGTTATAAACTTAAGTCTTCTCAATATTTACTATAACAAGATCATATTATCAGACGTACAGTATTGTGCATGTATGCAATGAGTAAACCAGAGATTAATGGAGCAAAGCGACCAGAGATGTGAAAAGAAAGACTGAATCAGGTGATCAGGAGTAGCGCTTAGAATAAATATGAACTTTGGTTTTCACTGAGGCAGGAGCTGAAGCTGCCAGAGTTTGTTAGATGATGATGAGGCTGCACAGCAGAGTTTATGTCTATTAATCGCAATTAGTAAGAAAATCTCTTTATGCTCAATAATAACAAAGTAAACACTATCAGGATGAATGCTTGGCATCTATTGCTTTGTTTTAACACAAATATCTGAGGTGTAGGGTCTTTGCTATAGGCATAGATGGTGAGTAGGACCCTTTGATGTTTATTTTTCTGTAAATCACATCTTTGTTACAATGCATTTAAATTAGACCACATTTTTCAACATAACTTTAAAAAAAAAATACAATGCAAATATTTAATTTTGTTTTATTTTCATGTTTTTTTTTCAGACGCTCATCCAGCTGCTTCTCTCTCAGTGACTCCAGACAGAGTTCAACATTTTATCAATCAGTCTGTCACTCTGAGCTGTAGAGGGAACAACACTGAGTGGAGACTGAGGAGGTTTACAGAAACAGGTGGACTATCAGACACTCACTGCTCCAACTGGGGGACAATGACTGGATCCTCATGTTCTATAAACACAGGCTGGTCTCACAGTGGAGTGTACTGGTGTGAGTCTGGATCAGGAGATTTTAGCAACGCAGTCAACATCACTGTACAGGGTAGGTTATGATTGATGATATTTCCTTTAACATTTTCCTGTGTTTTCACATACTGTAAAAGCTGCAGTTACTGTGAACATTAATATCCAGAGACACAGTGGGGGCTGTAGGCTTTGCTTTGAGCAGCCGGTCTGGAGCGCAGCGGGGCGGAGCGCTGATGGAGGATGAGGGATTCGGGGTTAGCATGAAATGTTGGTCATGTTGCTGTTAGCATAAACAAAACGTGTTACACAATGCTTGCACACTGTTGCACTTTTATCCACAACTTTCTTTCCGCCGTCATCGTAGGTCACTCTAAATGCAAAGCGGTCCCATACAGCAGACCTATAAAATGCTGCTGGCGCGTCTTCCAACTCCTGTTCTTTCCCACTCGCCAGTCCGACACAATTCTCCACAACAACTGATTTTTTTACCTGCTACACCCGGCTAAGCTGCTTCGCTTCTTCTTCTACTTGTTTACTACTGGTGGTTGGCTTTGGTCGCAGTACCGCCACCTTCTGCTCTGGAGTGTAAACGCTTCGCCTATGAGAAAAAGTAACGCGCATGAACCAAACGCAACACACGCGAATCGAACCGAAAAGTTCGGACGGTTTTCATAAATCGTCCCATCCCTACTGATTACCTAATGGTAAATAGTAAATTACATTTAATCCTAGAGGGTTTCAACACTAACAATTTCTCTAACCTTTTAACTTTTAAGAATCCAAATGCAGATAGAAATATGTATTTTAGTTGCTCTGAATATGACACATTGTGTGGAGAATTCTTTATTGGTTTTATAATTTCGTAGTATGACATAAATGAGAGCAGAATAACTTTAACAAAGATCACTGAATTCAACACTGAAGACCAGGATCAGAAATGATGTTTAAATGTAATTCCGCTGAGAACTTAAAATGGAAACATGCTGTGATTTTGTTTCAGATGAGGAACTGAAATAGATCAGATAACAGGTTTATATCCAGATGTCACACAAAGCTTATAGTTTTCTAGAAGAATGTAATAAAATGAAAATGCAGTTGATAAGATTAAGCCATCCTTTCTAATCTTAACATGAAAAATGAGTGAAAAATAACACCAACATTTTACCTTCTATATGAAATCATTACCTGAAACGTCCAGAGATTAATCCCAAATCTCAAGATCATATAGGATTTAGTGCAATGTTTGATTATAGGGACCATTTTTTGTAATTAGCATAAATTCAGAACAATGAATAATTACTGAGAATCAGAGATTGATATATTGTTAATAAAAGGTGTTCTGTCCATTACCTTGGTTTAATTTCCAGTGATTTAAAAGCTACTTTCCAAATATAATAGATATTAGACTTTTCTAAAGGTCAAAACTGATTGCTGATCAAAACCTGATATTCTGACTGTTTTACAGATAGAAATAACAGTATTATCATTGGACCAATTATTGGAATCCTTGTCATTATTCTCATTATCCTGCCACTGCTGTTGTGGTGCTGCATACGGTCAAAGGGTGAGAGGCTTTTTCTTCTCATACTGTGGTGGACTATGTAGTGACTTAAATACTTAAACAATTAAATAATTAAAATCTATGTTACTGCTTTGACAAAACTGAGAAATAAATCAAATTGCATCACAATGTAACAAATTCCCTCTTTTTGTCCACAGATTTCTGCTGCATCAGGTCAGTACATCATGGTTCACTTTCCTCTGATCTTAAACATTCATCATCATCTATTCTTTAAATTTAAGTTGAACTTTTAACATAATTTAGGTCAGAAAGCAGCAGTCAGAGCCCCACCACCAATCATGGAGTCAACCAGACAGACAGTCAAGTTTACAGCTCTCTGCTTCATGGTTAGTAGCTTTCTATTTGACTTTGAAATAACTTCCTAAATCTTTGATTTAGGGATGTGTGCTAAACTCTGCTTTTTGGAGATTTTTCATTGTTATTATAACATATAAGCCAATACTTACAATATAGATCATTGTAGTGCCACCAAACTTGTAGCACACATAGATAATATTATCTAGTTCATACTGCAACTCTTACTTTTAGAATATATGCTAAACTCTATATTTTTTTAGATGCTTTCATTGTTATTATAAGCAGGCCAGGTGTGCAATCTCTACAACAGGAACTACAGCACTGAGCGTTGTGTGCTCTGCACAAAGTAGAACTGTCACAAATGCAGGAAGGATTCACCTTGGGTTTGTAAAAACTGCTAAATGGGACAATTGTAGCTATATATGTAAGTAGTGCTTTTCCTTGGGTGAAATAAATGTTACTCCAATATTCAAATCATACTTTTGTTGTTTTCTAAGCTAAACTGTTAAATGACGTTAAAAGGCGAGACAAGAAAAAATACAATTATTCTTTAAGTTGTTCTTTCTTTCACATAGTGAGCTTTGCAACAATATAAATGAGTCTGTTAGTGAATGGACAATATAAATAGGCTCTGCCTTGCCTTGTTGGAAAAGTATGGTTATGACCTGTTCTCAGCTCAGGACCCGTATGATATCTGGTTGTTCAATAGGTCTGCCTAAATAAAAGATTTAGATATGACTTATTAGGATATTCCTGCAAAAAGGTGTGATGTTGCAGGGGAAGGTAATGAAAAGTGTTTGGAGCATGCTCTTGTTCTGATTCCAGTTTGTTTCAGCCTTTATCCAGTCTCATGTACGTAGAAGGGCTGGTCACATCACAGGTTATTTGCATTACAACAAGGTCAATTAGCAAGGTAGAGTGAATACACAAACCTGAAGAGGGGAGGGGGGCTTGCAGGAAAACTGAAATTCTCTTAGACATCTAGTGTTAGAATATCAAATGTGTTTTACTTTGACTTTTTTTTACTGTTTTGCAGGTGATACTTCTGAGTATGAGTCAATCCAACGAGCCACAAACAAAGGTAAACTATATTTCTTGAAGCAGTCAGGGATGCAACAACTGGCTGATTTCAGCTGACTGATTTCAATGGTGTGAAATTCAGAGATGGGAAGTAACGAAGTACAAATACTTTGTAACTGTACTCAAGTAGATTTTTCTTATATTTTTACTTTACTTTACTACTTATTTTTATGGCGACTTTTTACTTCTACTCCTTACATTTTTACACAAATATCTGTACTTTCTACTCCTTACATTTTTAAAAATTGGCTCGTTGCTTTAGTTTTGAATCATTTTAATGGAGTTACCGTTATTATTTTTCACGTCATCAATACCAAATTCAATCTAATTGGATGGGAATCTACGTTGCATTTGACGCACCACTACAAGATGAATCAACAGATTCGGCGGTATTCATTGGCGGCAAATCATTGCAGCTTGGTGGCGGTGGCGTTAGCATAGTAGTATGGACGACGAGCTGATTGAAAATGAACACAACAGAGATCTAGTCCTATTGGCAGACGTCCATTTAAAATGTAGGCAACGGCATGAAAAAAGTGGTTTCTACTTTTACTTTCATACTTTAAGTAAATTTACAAGCCTGTACTTTGTTACTTTTACTTGAGTAAAGAAGTTTAATCAATACTTCCACTTTTACCAGAGTATTTTTTAACACAAGTATCTGTACTTTTACTCAAGTACGGAAAGTGAGTACTTTTGCCATCTCTGGTGAAATAAAATGGAAAAACTATTTCAGCAATAATTTTAAAGTTCTTACTTAATTAGCTGAAAAAGGAGATAGCTGTAATATCCTCTATTTCTTTTTGAAAAATGAGCAAAGGAAGCATTGTTTCCCGTTCGCTTTGACCGGTTTTGATTAGAGTTTGATTTATCAATTGATTCTGTGAGTTGTGGGAAAAATCAAACTCATGATTGGCTAAAGAATCTCAACATGGGTGGCAGGTACCCAATAATCTCGTAAAATTGTACTGAATCTCCTTCCCTTTTGCCAACACTTCTTATGGGAGCTTTCCCACATTTATACATGTTGTTCAATTTGAATACTACAGGGTATCAATCTGGCTTATGTCAGGATAATAAAATAGTCTCTACTAACAACATTTGTTTGCTTGTTAAAACCAGGATCAGCAGCTTTGAGAAAAGATGTTTTAACATTTTTTTCCTTTAAATATTCTTTTCTTTGTTAATCTTTTTATCATATTAACAGGGATTCCTGATGACCTAGACGAGGATCCTGTTTATACTAATATGAAAGCAGAAACCACAGGTAGGTGGTTCAAAGTATTACTTTAAAAGAAAAGTTAATTATTTATGGTTCTTAAAAAAGTAACTACAGTAGTTGCCATTCAAAATTTTCCAACTTTCCTTTATGGGTTCTCCCATGCAATTCTTTTTTAAACATTAATCTTTGAACTAAAATATTGTTTCTGTCATGATTTGTGAACATTAAGATCTGAAGAGAAGCGCCATCTCCTGGTCAGACCCTGTAATTCAGTGAAAGGATGGAGTCCGAGTAAAAGCATATGCACGCCCAGGAGAAGGAGGAGGTCACTCCAGTGGCTGGAAGTTGGCTGCCATTCAGCTGGCCTTTGACTGGGAAGGACAATTAATAACCTAGTTACTCCATATTGAACTAATCTTTAAATACAATACAATACAAATTCAGTGATGAAATATAGGATCAGTATAAGCACTACACATCAATATAAACTACATTTCTGAAATTATTTTAAACATTAATTTCTCCCTTTATTGGTGTGTGTGATTGCATAACTGAGTTACAATACAATTTTGTAACTATCCATCCATCCATTTTCCATCCTGCTTATCCCTGATGGGTTAGCGAGGGGTGCTGGTGCCTTTCTCCAGCTGTCTATGGGTGAAAGGCGGGGTACACCCTGGGCAGGTCGCCAGTCTATCACTGGGCAACGCAGAGACAAACAGGAAAAACAATCATTCAGGCTTACACTCACACCTAAAGAGAATTTAGAGAAGCCAAATAACCTAACAGTCATGTTTTTGGATTATAGGAGGAAGCTGAAGTACCCAGAGAGAACCCACATCCACAGGGAGAACATGAAAAATCCATGCAGAAAGTCCATGGGCTGAGAATTTAACCCGGAACCTTCTTGTGGCAAGAAAGCAGTGCTACCCACTGCTCCACTGAGCAGCCCATTTTGTAGATATGATTATGTATTTTTTTTTTTAAATAATGCAATAAAGCAAATCTGATGTTTTAGAAATTCTAATTTTTGGACATTAAGAACCTTTAATTGGTTTTAAAATATGTGCAGTTATGCTTCAATGTTTCCATACCCTTCCATTAAAGAAAGAAAAAAGAAGTCTGCAAGTAAAATAAACAGAAAATGACCAAAGAAATAATGCATAAAAATTATTTTAAAAAAAGCAAAATAGAAATTGTGGCATTAATTTTAAATAAATAGATATAAATCCATATGTATATAAAATGCAAGGATTATACAAACCTGTTTGAGCTTATGAACTAAAATTTTGTTGAGCAACTCTTTGAGGCAGTAATCACTGAAATCAGGTGTTTTCTGTCATGTTCAGTAAATGTTTAGTCAGACTTCTGCACCTTTTGACAGGTATGTTGGTTCACTGTTAATGAGCAAAGTAGTTTATTTGGTCTGGCATAATCGTTTTTTTTTTTTAGAATAATTTTAAAATTAAAATTTTCAAAATTAATCTTTTATTTTATTCAATTATCACTTAGTCATATTTATTTATTTACAATTAGAGAGTGTTGGCCTACTGGTCAGATTAAAATTAAAGTAAGTTAAAACTAAATATATTTTTCATGTACATTTAAAATGATTTACATGCGAACCAAAATGTATCTAAAGTATTTCTTGTTATTAAAAAAAATGTAAACTCTTCTTTTAGTTTCTGACTTTTTTTTTATTGGTCCCTGTTGGTATTTTTTGAATTTATATTTAATAAAGAGCTTCAACTCTTCAAAGTTGGAGAGTCTCTGTGCCAAGACCCCATTCTGCAGCTTCCTCCACAGGTTCTCTTTTACAGAAATGCATTGGTGCCCTAATAAGGAAAGAGATTAGCCCAAAGTGACATTATAAGCACTGTTTGTTTCTTTAAACTTAATAAAAAAGCCAGATGTGAATCTTTCTGTGAGAACGTCTAAATTCTGACACCAGCACTAAAAACCATACAGGAATTTCTAGCAAATATTGAGTATTTCCCTCAAAATTACAACAATATTGTGTAATTTTCATAGGAATTTTCTAAGGGGCACAGCTGTTAGAAACATTTTAATCCAAAGGAGACATGGAGGCCTGGCTGGCCAAAGAAAATGTGATGTAACCAAAATGTCTGTTAGAAAGCTGAGGGTCAAAAAATATTTTTTCTTTTCAGCGTTACTGTGAAACAATGTATGGATTCAGATAAACCAAATATATTTCAAGTAAAGAAACTAAAGCATTAGATGGCCTCCTCAGAGTTAAGCACTCATGTTCTGCAGAACATATGGGCTCACCTGGAGAGGCATGGGGCAAAGAGATTTTCTGACGAGCTAATAGAGTTGTCAGGGAAAAAACACGGAAAATGGTGACACCTTAAGGGGTGCAGCCCTCCACAGCCACACTTGACCGCTTAAAAAGCTTTGACCCCATGCAGTTTGAATATTGCCGTGGGTTTGGGGTTGAAGATGCCATCATTCACCTGCTTCAACAAACAAACAAAACACTGTCATTTAGACTAAGCAGACAGCACTGTGAGGATCATGTTCTTGTGTGTGTTAAAGTAACACTTTAAGAGTGCATTTGGTCTCACTCTATGTAGTGTATATTTTACTCCAGTTGTTATTGTAATCATTCTAAAAGAGTCAATGTACATTGACACTGCTTATTTAATGCTTTGGAATTTACTGTGAAACTTCAGAAGATTCAGGTGGAGGCATCAACAGTTACCTGGATCAAAGACTACCGGACAAACAGTCAACATTTTGTTTCACTGAAGGGTCAGCTGTCTAATCAATTATTCCACAGCATAGGAGCACCACAGAGGACAGCACTCTCACCATTCCTTTTTGCTCTGTAACCTCTGACTTCCTGTACCAGGCAGTCCTGTTACCTGCAGGAATAATCTGATGACTCAAAGATGGCCAAGAAGCTGAGTACAGAGAACCAGAGATCTGCTTTGTGGCTTAGTGTGGAAACAATCATCTGAACTCTGAATGTCAACATTTCAGAAGAAACAGGAACAAGTTGAATCCTATTAACATGAAGGGAGAATAATTGGAAATAGTGTAGGAGTATAAATACCTCAGTGTTCACCTGGAAAACAAACTAGGCTGGAGCCATCTACAAGACATTATAAGTGTGACATTATAAACACTTGTAACTAAAACTCAAACTCCCACTTGTCTGAGAGAAAGCTGCAAGTGAAGATGAGTTTATTTTCAGCTCCAGATTGAGTCCAAGAATACTTTTAAACATGAAAGGATTTCCATCATTAGAGGAAAACATTGGTTTTAGAAAATGCCAAATCATAGCATAGAACTAAACTCAAAAGAAAGTATGTGTCGCCCAGAAAGGCCTGCAGAGAAGGGCTGTTCTTCTGATAGATGTTATTGGTTATTTGCAATATAGAGTAGAATAATATTTGTAAATCTAGATGTTTGATTTTATACACTCTGAATTTGAGTTTAACTTGAAACAAAACTTGATTGAACAAAGTTTTAGCACTAGGGTGTAAACATCGATGCATATCAATTATTACAGACTATATACAATAAATCTGTGAGATGACACCCATGGAACATTGCACCAAACTGCAGAAGCCACATTTCAACCAGAGGGCAGCACTGAGGCAGGATATTGCTGAATTAAACCCGTTTAAACCATAATGTCAAAATGTGCACTGTTCTGAAAATGGGAGATGAGAAAGAGTGCATTAACCCTTTGAAATTCATAAAGTTTAAATGGGTAATTATTTTTTTTAACTCTTTAAATGTCTGGTAAGATATATATATATATCTCACTCCAGTGTGTGCTACATAAACCATAAGAATAAAGCCAATGAAAATGGAAGATTCTGTATTAAGCTTCATTTACTACGTCCAATATATTATTTTGAAATCATTACAGTTATTGAATTTATGGAATGCAGTAGCCAGCAGTATTTCTTGAGAATTTAGGCAGATTTATTATTCAGAATAATGGAGGATGTCAGTTATGGGTTCAAGTGAAGAGAAAACTTTAATATTAATATAAAGCAAGGCAAACAAAGGGACCAGAGATGAGGACAGTGTTTCTTTGACAAAAATATGTGCTGTTTAGGTATTATTTTTACATTATATATGTCCATTTGTTTGCTGTTTGTACAAAATGTTACAAACTGGTTATAAGAAAACTCATTGTAGACTTGAGAGAGCAAAGTTTTTGTATATAGTTCAAAAAACGATGTAGTCCAATTAAATTCTAACAAGTAAACTTAGAGTGGTTTTGTGTAGAGAAGTGAGACTTTCAGCTGGTTAGACTCACTAATGCTGTTTTACACAATCACTGCACACTATTGCTTTGATTCATTTTCTGTTGGCTCAGTGCAAACATATCAAAACTACTGTTTAGGACTGGAATAGACATTCTACCTTTCACCTCAGTGCTCCCAAAACCTTTGCTATTTACTAATAATTTGCTAAAATAATAGTAATAAAAACAAATTTTATTGTAAGAGCCTTTTAGGAAACCTGAGGACAGGTGGTGTGTAAGTTATTTTGTGAAGTTACTCCTTTTTAATTTTTTTTTTTTTTTTTAGAAATGATAGGCAAGTTGGAAATGGGCCAGAGGTTATTGTAGTCGTTCTGATCTGACCCAGGTTTTTCAGTGTAGAGCGAAGAAACAATTCAAGAGGTAAGAAAGGAGTGAGTAATGGCGGTTATGGTCAGGAGCAACGGCTGGAGACAGGTGGTGACCAGAGCATTTAGGATAGAATCAAGCAGGCAGGTGGAGGACTTAGAGCTATGGATGAAGTTGGAAATTTTGGAGATACTTCTGAAATAAAAGATAGAGAATGACTGAGAGAGGGGATGGATTTCAGTAGAAGATACAGCAGAATGGTTTGGAGATATATGATGGTGAATTCTGTTAATTTTCTCATTAAAAATTCTGCATTGTAGAATTAGAAGAGTTTGAACATAGGTAATAAGGGGTTAAAATGTTTTTAAACTGTAAAAACAAAGTCTTTAAGTTACCTTTATTGGAGCAGATAAATCCAGGAAAGTCGTGGGGTTTAGTTAGAGTAATTGATTCCTTATTTTTCATATATGCGATCTTTGTAGTTTCTTTGTGAATAGTAAATGCAGCTTGTTTATGGAGCTTTCTGAGTTCAGGAATAAAGCAGGGGGCAGAGTGGGAGAAGGTAATAAAGCAGGTTTTCACTGGAGAGGTCAGAATATTATTTATACAATTTGCACTACTGTTATACAGAGATGCACATTGATCCAGGGTGGAAGAACTTAGACAACTTTTATCGTCATCCTGTATACAAAGATTGTACCCAAAATGAAAATTCGTTTTGTAGAGCTTTCATGGCATTTCCATTCGTTAAAGTGCAGCAGTGATCAAATGCAAACAGTGTGGGAGAAAAAAACACATTGATATGGAAGTTCAGAGAAATAAATATATATGGTGTAAATAAGCAGTATTTTGGTTTGGTTTTGTCATTGTAATGCAGAGTCTTTGGCAAGATTTAGTTTTCTCAACAGTTCAGCTGCCTGATGGCAGTGGGGAAGAAGCTGTTTCGGAATGTGCTGTTCCTGCATCAAATGCTGCAAAGCCTCGTCTCAGAGGGCAGGAGGTAGAACAGTACATGTAGGGGGTGTGGGGGGTCATTGATGATGTTACATGCTTGGGAAAAGCAATGCTGGGATAAAATGTCTTTTATGGAGGGAAGAGGAGCCCGGATGATCTTTGCTGTTTTCACCACTCTTCTCACTTCCAGTCTGAGACACTGCAGCCTCCACACCACACAGTGAGACAGCTGGTCAGAACGCTCTCTATGTTCCTTTTGTAGAAGGCCGTGAGAATGGGTGGGGGCAGGTGGGCTCTCCTCAATCTCCGCAGGAAGTACATGCGCTTTTGTGCCCTTTTGAACAGTGAGGTGGTGTTTACAGTCCAGGTGAGGTTGTCTGTGATGTGCACCTCCAGGAATTTGGTGATGTTGATCACCTCTACAGCTGAGCTGTTGATGAGCAGTGAAGCTTGGTTAGGCCGGTTCTTCCTGAAGTTGCACTGCATGAAAAGTGGGATTTTCGTCAATATGCGGCACTGTAGATTGTCGTGGAACTTCAGGTTAGCGGCAG